GAGAACAGAGGAAAAACCACTTTGCCTAGCCTTCTATTTTCTTTCTAACATCAACTTTTGCTTGCTGCGCTAGTCTGTATCCTGATACAGTTTGGTACCTGGAATACCTACGGAAGTCCAGGGCTAAATAACAGACACTGCGATGCCCCCTGGGATCTTCTTTCTGTCGCTCCTTCACTTCAACCCCACTCTCCCTTTTGCGGTTTCTAGTCACATACTTTCTTTCCCATTGACCTTGAATTTGACAGCCAACTCCAACACTACACTAGATTTACAAATATGATTAGGATATGAGGATACATCAGAGAGAACTTCCCCAACCAGACCAAATTAATCACGCTACAGAACACCTATCCATGACCATAATTTCCCGTGTTGTGGCATCCAGGAGTCAGCCAACCCCAGCTGCTCTGTATAGAGACAAGAAGACAGCTCCCTCTGCCGGGACAGACCACGCAGCTCTGCCTGTCCTCCCCCTCTTCACGCAATGGACTCTCATTGGAGAATTACAGGCATGTAATTCTCCAAGAATTGTTCTTTTAAAGATCCAATCCACAAGATGGCATCGAGCTGTTTAGATGGCTCTGCAATTCCAGGAATAGGCCTACAGTAACGGAATTTCTGTAGTTTCTACATTTAAAAGTACAGAGAAATAAATTCTTCCCATGGGTCTGCGTAAGAGCCAGATGGACATCCTATCTCTAGGAGAAACCAGTGTCCCTTGTGTCCACTGTCAAGCCCATGTCTGGGAACAGAGAGTTCAGCAGTGTTACTCACAGTATGCGCCTAACGTCCGGCTTTTCTTACTGCTACTCTGTCAAACTCTTTCTTGTACATCCCTGCCCCAAGAGATAGCCCTTACCCTGTAGAAGGGAACAGCTGCAGCTTTCCAGCTGCACGAGGCTGCATCACAAGGCAGCCGCAGGCAATTGCTAGCACGCAGAGCACGGAGCGATGAAGCGTCAGAGAACAGGTAGGCAGCAGACGATGGCACAAGTGAAAGGCAATGATCCCTATTTCAAGCGCTTATATTAGGATCTTCCAGGAAAGCTACAATCTTTTTCCTTTCTCAGTCATCCCATGTGAAACACGAGGTTAGAAGGGACACTTTTCATTCATACAGCATTAGTGGTTTTCTTTCTGCAGACCTCAAAGCACTCACAAAAGCAGGTAAGAACTGCCCGCTCAGCCTGTAACAACCCAGCCCGCACCAACGCCCGTCAAAGGCACTGCCAGGTCAATAGGCCAACCACAAACCTCTGATCTCCTGAATCAGAAAGTTCTTCTCAGCTTCGCTGCCAAGTCTCCACAGAAAACTTTTCCGAAATAAAAGCACGCTGTGTCCAAGGTGTTGGCCTCTCAAAGCAGAAGTTACTGATGCTGCTTCTTTGGAGGCCACAGTAAAACCTGCCACTGAGGAAGGAGAAAGTGTGCTATCTGGAGACTGTTCAAGCTCCTCATTCCGAACAGAGGGGGCTAAGACCACTGGCTTGGGCATGCCATGCTTAGAGCTGGCAGGCACTCACTGGTCATACAACCCAGTGACTCCTCCAATACGTGTTTCTTTCCATTTTTCAAATGATCCCTTTGGAAGCTGAAGAAGCACCAAAACTCTGGTATTTTTGTCACCTAGACTTCTACGATTTCACAGTTTGTTTAAAGTTACATGATTCCTGTCCTTGAACTTCCTACAAGTACCAGACAGTACTTGTTCAACTTTTGACAGCACAGTAAGTTTTCAGAGCTTTTTTGGGTTGGGATGTTTACTGGCAGAAAAAGGGATGGACAAAAATCATAACACATCTAAAAACAGAGGGATCACAGTCTCAAAGTAACATTTATATCATTTAAAGTCTACATTTAAAATTACCTCAGTGGCAAGCTTGTTAACCTTTAAAATAATATTTTTCCAAATTAATTGGATGAGCAGCAGCCAAAGCACATTTATATCTGTGCCTTGAAAACATACCCTTCTTACTATCAATTATTTTCCCTAAGAAGACAAATTTCCACCTTCCAGAAACACCAATACTCACATCTTCTGATGAAAAAATAAATACTTCAGCTTATTTTAAACTTATTCACAAATGGAGTAAAGCACAGAGCTAAAATAGCCTCCTATTTGACAGCTGGTAACCTATAAGAAACAGACCTCTGCTAAAGCCGAGAGACAGGCACAGATGCTGTGGTAAAAACTAAAGAGCATGACAGATCCAGCGTATGGACAGGATCTTCACAATCACTCTTAGTTCACAAATTGCAACAGAATCACTGCGGTCCTGGAGAGATTTTGGAAACCTCCTCACCATCACTGAAAAGGGCAAGAGCAATAACCTCCCTTCTAACCCTTTCACTCTACAACAATTGTTCACAGCTTGCATTTCAACTGTAACTAGGGAAGAGGAAAGCGAAGCAGAAGAAAACACAAGACATCTAAACCATCCCCATGTCCCAGTGACAAGGACAAAAAGCAGGCAGTGAGACAGGATGTCCTTTAACAACAGATCGCCAGTTCACGTGCAGCTTGGTCTAGACGAGTGCAGAGGACTTCCATGCTCTACCGGCTCCAGGGACTAAGAGGCTTTGGCCCTGCAGGCCTTTTAATTCATAAAATTTTATCAACATGGCTACAGTCCAGGAGCAGCTCAGGTCAACCGTGACTGAAATTCATGTGGCTTTCAGCTACCCTTCAGCAGTTACACTGCCATGAGTTTCAACGAGTAGGAGAGGTTTATGCATAGCGCTGATAAGGGCTAAAGACATCCTTGGAAAAGGATGGCTATTCACTGCCTAATAAACCTTGTTCCTCTGCATGCCTTGTCCTCACAAGCTCCCCCTGTGAGAGACCCAAAGGTGTTTCAGTTTTTTTTAACATGGAATTCCAGAGGAGCAGGAAACCTATGCAGAAACACAATGCACCACCCTAAAAAGCAGCCATTCTCACTGAAAAAAAAACAAACAAACAAACAAAAAACCACCAAAACAGCAAAAACCCAAACAAAATTGCCCACTAACTTACCCAGAATGGAAAAAAAACAGCTATCATGGTTTGGAGACAGCATGAGACTTTCTTAAATAGTAACTGGAGAGCCCTATCCAAACTGGTACTTCATATAAAAGCTCTTAAGAGACAACAGTATCACCATGCACTACCTTGACGAAGCCATCACTGACTTAAGGGTTACATAAAGAGAAACATAGCACACAAGTTCTAGAAAGGTATGTTCTTACCCCAAGTAAGTGTAAGTAAACTGGCTACCTTGTTATTTGCATTAACACTGAGAGAAACCAACTGCGTGGAAATGCTGGGAAAACAGCACTCAACCTTTCCTTCCACGGGTAAAACTGCAGAACACTCCGCCTGTCAGTGAATGATTTCGCACCATGGAGACAGCCAGTGCCTGTATTGCAAGCAAACCCTTGGTTGAACTCATCAGGTGTTGGAGCACAGGCCTCGCTGTGGAAGGCGAATCCCCGCATTACTGCTGTCTTCTGCATCTCAACAGCCAGGTCTTTGCTCTTGGAACTCCCCACCCGCACAGGCTGGGAAGATTCACCTGCAAAGTGTGACAGGTCCCCTAGGGACGAGTGTCTCACACTCCCCGCTCTGTTTGTTCTCTCCTCACTGAAGCAAACTGCAAAAGCACTGTTCCCCTTCAGCCCAACACCCACAGCTGTAGCTGCCAGCGATGATCACGACTGTAGGGAGCTCAGTGGTGAGTACAGCAAATCTTTGCTGGCACTGCTGGTTTTGAGGCTCCATGAGAGAGCAACCTCTACCCGAAGAGCTGCGCTGGATGACAGCAAGAACTCCTACTTGACCTGGTGGATCCTGTTTCTCTCGTACCAACTATCATTTTCATGGTTGTTGAAGTAAAAAGAGTTTCACAGGTCTTCATCTTTGGAGGCAGGAGAGAGGGAAAATCATAGACAACATTCGTTGGGTGTCTGCCCTTCTGCAAAGCAGGTTAGACATCAGTAACCCTAGTTTAAACACTTCAATGTCACTACACAGTGAATTTGTACAGTTTCTCATTATAACTGACACAAAGCACCACTCCAACGTTTCGGAGAGCTCTCCTGACTTTTGCTCTTTTTTTCATTATAACTGACACAAAGCACCACTCCAACGTTTCGGAGAGCTCTTTTTTCTTTTTTTGGGAAAGTAAGATCAGGACAAAGGATTCAGAAGAAAAATTAATAAGAAACTAATTCAGAAGGTGGAAGTCCAACACCCAACCCCTGCTCCCTGCCTTCCTCCCAAAATAATCCCAGCTCAGACAAGCAAAATAGGGTCTTGTCAGGTGCAGGTGTTCTTCCTTTCCTTCCCTGCCACAGGCACACAAAGTGTCTGGACTGCCCCTGTAGACAATGGCACCCAGAAGAGATTCTTATTTCATATGCATGAGATGCACCTCCACCGAGACACACACTTGAAAAAGAATCTTGTTTACTCCCAACCAGAGACAAGTCTGTAATTAATTTCTTTTAACTTTTGTGAAACTGCTTTACACTGGGGAAACAAGGTTGTGCAGCATAATGAACTGGCTAGAAGAAAATTAAACAGTAACAACCCACTCCTTGCATGACCATCTCTAAATGGAACATTTTTTGCATACCAAAATGAACTATAACTATGCCCTCTCTGCAAACCACCAGTAAATCGTACAGTTTACAGGTCAGACCAGGTTATACTGAAAAATCATCTGCTTCCAGCACAGACAGACTGCCTTATTTACCCTTCAATTGTGGTAAGATCTCCATTTCTCTACTGCTCGTCACTCTAGCATTTTACCAACATCACTCTTTGCCTGTACAGGCTGTATAAGTCTGTATACACTGGTTTGGTATTCTGCTCAAATATTTACCACCTGCAGAAAGACAGTGCCCTCTAGGCTGAACTCAAGGGATTTATTTTTTCCTAAGACTCTTGTTTCCTTCAAGTCCAGCACTTAGAGACAAAGAAGAGAGCCAGAGCAGGCTGCTACCTGTACTCTTACCTGTCCGGGGATCGAAGAGCTGGTTGGCCTCCAAGTCTGTGAAAGTGCTGAAGCAAATGGGGCATTTAAAAGAGGCGCGGTTGGTGGAGTCTCTCTCATCCGTCTCAATCCGCCGCCTCATGTGGTCCAGCTTGTACTTCACCACGTTAACCAGAAGGCGGTAGTTGATGAAGTAGTAGTTGTGACGGGTGGTTTTGCCATCTGGAGCCGTCTCTACCCTCATCCTGCATTTGATGAACTTGTCGCCCTTGAGGGTGTTGAGGACAGCTCGCAACTGCTTCCTATCAAACTTCAGCAGCTCTAACATGTCCTCTTCCTTCACGCAGGGGTTCCTGATGAGAATGTCCAGAGCCAAAGCATGTTCAATGCCATAAAAGCCACGCACCACGTATTTGGCAAGGCGTTTGAGAGCTGCTGGGACCTCAGTGAGGACGTCTGGGTCAGTCATAGCAGGTTCAGATCTTGAGCTTCATGTATACTGTAATGCAAAAAGGAAGATGGATTCTTAGCTAGTCTTTTGACTTCAGAAGTTTTGATTTGTCTCACTTAGAGGTAAGAAAAGGATGGGCTGCTTCCACTTCTCTTTCCCAGGCCCTGTACTGTCTCCTTAGGTGTTAATAATGCCAATGCTACAGATGGAGAATTAAGAAATGGAACCTCTCATTCAACACAAAATGACAGAAAACTTAAAAAAGTGAACAAGAAATTGGTACCATAACATACAGCAGGTTTCATTTCTACTCAGTCACAGCCAATAGAACTGGAATAAGAAAGCTGTCTCGAAGCTGAGCTCCAGGAGACAGCTTCATCATCAACTGAGACTTGCAGTCTGGGAGAAGTAGAAAAAGGCTACGGCAAGAAAGGTTCCAAGACAGCCCCAGAGTGAAGCAGTCTTACAGCTCCAGTTGATGTCATCTGGCCACATCGTAAGTAGCCCTGCCTGCATCCCCTCCACAGCCATCACTGGGCAGAGGTATTGCTAGTAATAGACAGCTTGCTAGTACAGACTGGTACGCATTCAAGCAAAGGCTGCCTGCTCTGCACAGTGAGAACAGACAGACTTTTTTCCTTACTTTCTGATAAGCAGACATTAGTGAACGGTCTACAGCATGAAAACTGTTAGCACTACCAACTCTGACATCACAGACTGCTTTAGCCTTGACCTCCAATGAGAAAATAGGTCATTCCAAAGGACTCATCCTTCATTTAAAGTGTCTCATGTTCAGGCCTTAGAAACCCACAGATAATATAGCACAATAAATAAAGTAGAAATCAAGACTTGATGAACATGAAGAGATGATGTGTTTAAACATAAAAAAGTATTCCATTAAGTACTGAGTAACTTATCACGACTTACAGTGCTGAGACAAGGCAATACTTTCTAAAGAAATGCTGTATTTTCACTTCATTTTTCTTCACCTTAACAGCAAATGGCACAAATGTTCACAACAATTACAATTTTCTGTGACACACATAGGATCATATCATGCAAGGAATTCCTCATGTTGTCACCCCTGCCACATACACAGCCAAAAAATCAAACCCTGGCAGCCACTTGCGTCCAGTGGAGAGAAGGGAAGCAAGTCCATAAGGCACAGGCTCACTGTCATTTCACAAGGTGCTTTTGTGCATTTTCGCTCCACTCCTTCAACTCTACACATCTGTAGGCAGTAACAAAATTCCCCTCCATACATAATGCACTTGGATTTCCATGTATGAAAGGTTCAGGATAAGCACTGGAGTATTATAGGTGCTTCAGAAATGCCTATTCAGGCGGTTTTACTTCCAGTTAACTTAAAAAACCACATTGAACAGCCTTTATCAATATGAGACTTCTAAGCTAGTTTAGGATATGAATAACCATTTTGTAAGCAAAAGGTTCCTTCAACAGAAGAAAAAGCCCACACCGTAATTTGCTTGTTCGTCATCACTAAACTGTTTTTATCTGTGAACTACTATCATAAATAGTAGAACTCAGCCAATCTCAGTTTTCACTTCCATCAGATGTTTCACACAATGTCTATGTAGCTCCCCAGCACTGGAGTCTCAAATCAAGGAAAGAGGAGGGTGACAGCAGAAGAAAGTATCTGGACGGGTATCCTGTTTTCTTCAGGGCTGTCATAAAACCTGTAATACCCCTTTTGACAAACGCCATCACAAAACCTTTCAGTACACCCCACACTAAAGGGGGGTTTCACATCCCCCTGAAATCACCAAGCAGGGGACTACTCACTTCCATCAGCTTAGACTACTCAAGAATCTGTAAGCACTTATCACAGTAGCCTGCTTGGATTTTTTTTTTTTTTTAAATGAGAAACACTGCCCTCTCAAAAAAACTTTAAGCGAAATTACAAATTGAAACTTTACTTCCCTCCAACCCCTACCCTCTTTTGCAACTGAGGAGGTATGGCCAGCGCAACTGCAAAGCAATCAGACTGTGGATTGTGGAGTTTAGCAGTAAATAGATTAAGATTGCCCCATCTTTTCTGCCTTTTGGATAAGAAAAAACAACCCACCTCCATTCTTTTCTTTTTGTTTCCCTGTTTGAGCTTTTCTTTTCCTGTAACTTAGGGACAAATGGTATTCACAGTGCTCAAACATAAACGAACTAAACATTTGTCGACTGCTAGTGTGCAGGCTGAGAATAGCTTACAGAAAACAATGCTTAGATATCCAGGTTCCCTTCCAGAAAATTAAATTATGTTTATCACAGCACGAATTAGCCATCAAACAAGTACTTCTAGAGTCAGTGAGCTTTCTTTTGCATGCCAGATACATAAAAATTTATCCCACACAAAGGATATTTTTGTAGAGCTTTGCATTAAAGGTAAAAGGGTTAGCCATAAAGGATGCCCCATCATGAGTTAGCCATACGGTATTTTTGAATCTCCAAGTCAGACCCAATCTGAACACCGTCACAGGACATTGCCCTTGAAAATCAATTTCATTCTGTTGGTATTTTTACAGTCTTTCAGTCACTTAAAGATAAATCTTGCTTTTGACTGAGTCTGTCAGCAACACAGCGATACTATAAAACAATGTCAGTGCAGAAGCTGGCCAGAGCCTGTATTTATTCAAACTGATTAAATCTTATTCAGAGTTTAAGCACAGTATAATATTAATGTAAAGATCAACTCTAAGTGAAACCTGGCACACAGAAGAGATTAAAGAAGTCAGATTTTGAAAGTCAAAGGTTTTTAAGTGTGGAACTCAAAAGATAAACAAAGCTTCTCACCAGTTCACTGTCCCCTAAAAACTCCTTGCAGAAAAAACTGGCAGCATAACTTGCAGTGGGGACAGTGACCTTCAGAACACCAGTTGGAACAAAAAAAAGGAGAAAAGTGGTTTTTAAGTAAGCACATCTCACTCTGGATACCTCATCTGAGAGCTGATGGAAAGCATTTTCTCTGCAAGAATATCATTGATATGACAGCTGCAGATTTCCACAGCCACTTTCAAAACAGGTTTAAGGTACAATTTCCTGAATAATGCACTCAAACCTTAAACAGAGACCTACAAGGGACCAATAAATAAAACCACCTCTAAGACTATATACTTTTCCCTTGCTTTTCAACTATAGTTAGACATTTAATAATATTTCTTAGTGTCAATCACTAGAAAATATTTTTTTTCATCTAGTGGGATCAGGAGTTTTTACATAAGTATTTTTCCTCCTCTACTGGAGATTTTTGGTGATGTCCAAACCTTCTGTGTCCTCAGGTAATAGTGGGCATCTTGAGCATAAGACTGCTTTTCTTCCAGAAGTGGATATATGGAAATACAAGCATCCTGTTTTCCCATTAATCTGCACTTCAAGAAATTGATTAGCACAGATAACATTCTAAATCCTACAGAAGACAGCCTCTGGGTGAGAAAACCAACTGATGAGTGTCAGCTTTAAGAAAGAAGAAAAAAAAAGAAATAAAGCCAGCAACGAACACGTTTATCAAGCTCTGCTACACAAAAGTACAAAAATGAAGTTCAACAATGCTGAACACGACTGACAGCTCTAAAAATGAGCACGGGCACATGTCCAGCAAACACCAGTTTTATATTGCATTGAGGCCTAATGCCAAACGGACCAAAACCAGGGGTCAAACAAGATCTGCATGGCTGGGTGAAGGACATCTTTCACAACATCATTCTCGACAGCCACATTCACAGTAAGCTGTGAGACAGAACGATGGCACAAGAGCGAGCATATACCACTGCCAGAACTCACCAGGCCAGGGTCAAACATATCGTTTTCCTAGGAGCAGCTGACACCTGGCCCACGAAGAATCCCAGGGCTACAGCATTATGAGCTGCAGAGCCTCACTACCTTTCACCAGGCAAGACAGAGAGTGATCCAGCTCACAGGCTTTAGGCCAGTGCCACAAGCCTATCAGTTTAAAATTCAAAAGCAGGGGACTTTACCGTTGCTTCATCCTTGAGCAGTGATTTCACCTTCCATCAAAGCTGTAAGTCAAGCCTGAATTAATTATGTGTGCAAAGAAATATGATAACGTCTAACAAGGTTTTAATGGACGTGCATCTCTTCCATAATAATGTCTGTACTGACCTTAATCACGTATGAAGATCAAGAGACACTGTTGGGGGGGGGAAAGGGGAGAACCCCACAAAAAAACACCCAAAAGAAAAGCAATGGGTGCCACTACGCAGCAGGCACGTACAGCACCAACAATAAAGCACACTTTTTTGGAGAGGATGATATCTAGAAACACCCAAAAGAAAAAATTCTAAATTTAAACACGGGCTTTATTAAAAGAGACAGCTGCTGGGGACTTGTTCTGGGTAATTAAGTGAATACAATTCAGTATTTATGGGCATTGCAGGAAAGCAGATCTGTCTGTTATCACAGCAGGACAGCAACTCTAAATACACATTTGGGTTTTCCTAAAAAAATTGCTCTGAATATAAGAATAAATATTGACGTGGCTATAAAAAACAACACTGGGAAGAAAGTTACACAATACAATCAGATGTATTGGGTGAAGAAACTCAGGGTCCAGACTGCAAAAGAGAGATCGCACCTCAGGTTGAGTAAAACGCATGAGGCGTAGGCAAGTAGGGATGTCAGAAAGGAAATCAAGAGGAGAGCAACTGACCACAAAAAACATTCAGCGGGATGGAACCAAAGACCACACAGAAGCCAGAAATTCAACTGAGCAAACATCTCCACTGAACAGGACTTCCTGATGCAACAACATCAAAGCAACTGAACTCTTCTCTACGTACAAAGATTTCCAGCATGCTTTTGTGAACTCAGAACAGGAATTGTGCAAAGGGTGTTTCCTCTGCTTTTCCTGACTACAGCAGGGAAAAGATGGAAGTGCTAAAAAGGTGATACCCAGAAGCCACAATGCAGATGAAACTAGAAGTACAAGTTATGAAAAAGCAAGTCAGCCAGTAAATTACCTGAATTTGTATCCAATGCTGCAAATTAACATCACCTTGTTTTAACATGTAACTCTG